TTACGATGTGAGATAGAAACTTGGTACAAGGGAAACTTTGACAAATCTACAAGGATGGCCCCAGCTAACATTACCAGAAATATTGCATCGGTAGCCTGAACTAGCCATATATTGTAATCAGATTAGTAATTACCCTGATTGTAAACAGATAACCTTCATCCAGTGACTGATGGAAACAGATACAGACATCCACAGCCAAGCACTGATTGGAGCTCAGTGAATCTTGTTGAAGACAGGGAAGGATTGTGTGAGCAAGGCGAGTCACACAAATGAACCCACAGAAACAACAAACCTAACTAATAGGAAACCACAGAATCTGGACCAACAGCTAGGGAACCTTCATGGGACCAACTTCTACACTGTGTGACAGTTGTGTAGCTTCATCTATTTGTGGGACTCCAAAGTATGGAAGCAGTATCTGGACCTAGCACATTGGGTGGCTTGTAGGAACCTATTCCAGATAGTAGGTTGCCTTCCGCAGCCATAACACAAGCAGAGGAACTTAGTCCTACCTCAACTTGCAATGCCATGCTTATTTGACACCCATAGGAGCCCAGCCCCTTTCTGAACAGAAACAGAGGAGTGGTAAGGAGTCAGGGAGGTAGGGGATGGATGACAGGAGAGGAAGGAAGGAAAACTGCAGTCAGGACATAAAAGAAATGAGTGAATTTAATTACTAAAAAAGAATGATAAGGTTAATAAGATGAGCAATTACACTTTACTGTGCTCAAAAACCACTTGTCTCTGTGACCCTGGGTTTCATCATCTGTGGAATAAGGACAGAATTCTGCCCAGATCCCTTGATGAGTAACAAACACAATGTAAACAAAGCCCATATTGCCCATAGTTGGAAGACAGTGGACTTAAAGCAGGAGGGCTGTATTTTAAGGGAGCATTCTTCTGTTACTCTCAAAGCCTGTGTCCTACATACAGTAGCCATCAAGGCTCAGCTACTCATCCTTATTAAAATAATTAAAAGAACCAACTTATCCAGAGGTGCTGTGGCCACCTATAATACAGGAAGGCACTCTGGAGTCAGGTGGACAAATGTCTCTGACATTCTAAGACAGCGTAGTCTCTATAGTCAGTTCCAGTCCAGCCAGGGATTCATATGAGCCTATTTTTAAAACAAAAAATGAAACAACAGAAAATGACAGGCAAATTATTGATGAAATTTAAAAGCATATTTATTCAGTTTGTCTAATCTGGAGCAGTGACAAAAATATAAGATAACTAATCCATAATTGGGATCAGAACAGGTTTAGATAAAAGGCAAAAGATATGCAAAACTAACAAATCTAATGAAGCTACATACTGAATTTTTCCCAGCTCTAAACCTCTCCCTCATTCTCAGATCCTTTCTCTTCTGCTGGGTGGTCAGATAAGGAGGAAATGCTTCTCCAGTAGAGACGTCCTCACGTGGAGGACTTTTCCCACAGAGAGATTCCCCAGGGAAATTTAGGTTTCAATGTGCTCCTTGTTACACTTGTGATAGCCAAAGGGAGAGATATAAGGGTCTGTGTAGAATAAAATTATCCCTACCATGCAGGCAGCTTCAGGAAATGACAGGGTGGGGACTGGGGAACTTTAGGTCCACATAAGGAAAGAAAAGTGGGGCCTTCTGGGCACTCTGATTGACAGCTACATGTAGTTGCCAAAAAGAAGGAGAGAGGGGAAGACCTGGAGGGGGCTGATGCAGCAGGGCAGAGTGGATAGAGAGCATAGGAGACAGCGTGTCCGTGGGTGCACCTGGCATTACTCTCTGCCCATTTGATCTTCTGGCTTTCACACTCAAAGGTCCCTCAGAAACTCCCCACAGCCCACATCTCTTTGTAAATGCTGATTCCCCCAGACTTACAAAGACTTGGGTTTCAGCCTCAGGATCTCAGGATCTCCTGACAACCTGGATGACATCTGGAGTCCTGCACATGCAGGGCTCCTAACTGAAGGTGTCATGGAGTCCACTGCTTCATTCATTGTTAGCCATAGGGAGAGATACAGATGTCTCTTTAGAATATTCTAATTCCTCCCAAGAAGCTGGGTTCCAGGATTGGCAGGGTAGAGACTGAGGAGCTTTCGGGCCCAAGTGGGGACTCACAGGGTGATGTCACTGATAGCTCCATGGAGTTGTCAGATAGGAAAGAGTACAAGGAGGCTGATCCACCACAGCTGAGTGGATACAGAGAGTACATAGGAGCCAGCTTGTCCCACGCTAAACACAAAGATTGCTCTGCTCATTTGATCCATTAGCTTTCACTCCCGAAGCTCCCTACCTAACACTTCCTATAAACTCCACAGCTCACTGTAATCGCTGACTTGCCCCAGATTTACAATGACTTCCTTTTAAGTCTCAGTATGTTCTAGACAACCCAGATGCCATGTGGATTCACCAGCTTTCAGGGTTCCTAACTGAAGGTTTTGAAGACATCAGGGAAGCTGAATGGGATCCCGTTCAGACAAGTCAGCCTTCATGCCTGCAAGTTCCTTTTCTCTTAGAGGAGGCATAAACCACTGACAGGTGTCCTCAGGGGCTCCCATTGCTGCCTACTTACCACACTTGAGAGACCTCAGTCTTGTAGCTCTGGTCAAGCAGACAGCCACTTCATAAAGACTTGCATTGTCAGTTTCTGTCCTGATCATTGTTGTACTCTTGCATTTATTTGTGGATATTTGGGCAAGGAAATTTCTTTTTTTGTTTGTTTGTTTTTTATTTTTTGAGACAGTGTTTCTCTGTATTGTTTTAGAGGCTGTCCTGGAACTTGCTTTGTAGACCAAGCTGGCCTCAAACTCACAGAGACACACCTGCCTCTGCCTCCCAGGTGCTGGTATTAAAGGTGTGCACCACCAACACCCGGCGGGCTTGGAAAATTTTTAAAGCATCATGAATAAGTCAGTTTCAAATGTTGTCGATCTTGTATTTTTTTTGGGTGATCAGGGATGAGGGAAAGATGAACTATCACCCATTTCCGCCTTACTGTTTTATAATGACAGGTCCATGTTGCTGAAAACATGGCTCACCAGCTAAAAGTACAAATTTGGGCATCCAACAGAAGCAATGCTATTGAGCAAACTCTCCAGGTTGCACATATGTCATTATAATTCAGAAGATAAATAGGCTCAACTACTCCTCTGTCTACCACCATTGAAAGTGATGAAAGTCCTCACTAGATGGTTGTCGAAGGACTCAGTTGCTTTCTATACGCCCCTTGAATGGACTCTCTACATTGTTGCTTGTTTTCATTATTAACGTGGTTCTCTTAATATGAATAAAGATAACAAAAGATTTTGTTTAATCCACTTAAGAGCCCAGTCAGATTATATTAGGGAATTTCTCTATAATTTGAAATATGCTTTTTCTTTTTGGAAGTTTTTTGAGACAGGGAGTCTCTCTCAATTCACTATTGTGGACCTAGCTAACCTCAAAGTCAGAGAATGAACTGCCACTGTCTCCCAAGTCCTGAGATAACAGGCATGTACCGCTAAGCTCAGCTGTGATGCTTTTAAAATGGCCTGTCTGTGAAACAGAGAATTAAAGGATGAAATAAGATTTTTAAAAGGAGGTAGGGTGCTGGTGGTGCACGCCTTTAATCCCAGCAGTCTAGAGGCAGAGGCAGGAGGATCTCTGAAAACTATGCTCACACTCTGCCTGGTATTTAAATGAACAAAATGGGCCACATAGATGCTGAGCACCACACTCTATTCATTGCAAAACAAACATACCTACCACTAAGTGAAAGCACAGTAGAAGATGAGCAGAAGCCACAGAAGGAAAACACGGAGTATAAAGTGAATTACACTAACTTAATTGGCCAAGCACATAACACACTTCAATATCTACCCCAAATATTGTTTTTTTTTTTTTTTTTTTTTGGTTTTTTGAGACAGGGTTTCTCTGTGGCTTTGGAGGCTGTCCTGGAACTCGCTTGGTAGTCCAGGCTGGTCTTGAACTCACAGAGATCCACCTGCCTCTGCCTCCCGAGTGCTGGGATTAAAGGCATGCGCCTTCAACGCCCGGCTACCCCAAATATTGTAAAAGAGAAATCATAATGCTGTGATCTTGACTGTCAGCCTTGAGTGAACATGGTAAATTATTTACTTCCTACAAGGCTACAATGAAAGACAAGAAACAAGATTTCTTTTCTTGAAAGGGATGACAACCATGACGTCTAAAGTCTTTACAAAATCATTTACATGAATAGGGTTTTTATATATTTCCTGATATCAAGACATTATTAAAAATCTTCATATTTACAGGGCTAGAGATATGGCAGAACAGTTATGAGAAGTTCATTCCCAGGACCAAGGTCAGATTTTTGGCAACTTCCTACAATTCTTGCTACAAGAAGATCCAAAGGTCTAACCTCCTTGGATACGAACACGCGCATGCACATACCCACACAAAGACGTATTGACATCACATAATTAAATTTAAACCATATCTTTAAATAAATTTTCACTGCCAAATGTTGTTTTCTTGTGAAAGCATGCACACCTGTAACACAGATGTTGAGGCATTTAAATGCTTACAGAGGTATTCTTCATCTGGAATGGGTTTATGTACAAAACACAAGTACGTAGGCTTCAAGGAAGAACAAATAGTCCTTCTCACTTGGTGGTGTCCATTGGAAAGACTTAAAGCATGCTGCTCTGCTGAAACAAATGTGTCACTGGGGGTGGCCTGAGAGTTTGCATCACACACCATTTCCAGTTGTCACTCTCTGCTTCATGCTGAAGGCTGAGGATGTGAGTTCTTAGTGTCCTGCTTTAGGGGCCGTGTCTGAAACCTGTTGCCATGCCACTTACATGGTGACCTTGCATTGCTCTGGACCATGAGCCAAACTAAACTCTTTCATGAGGTGACTTGGACATCTTTTATCACAGCAAGAGATAAGGCACTAATACAAATTCATAAAGTTTTAATCCCCGATGAGTTATTTCATATAACCAAATAAAAGCGTGAAATCAACAAGGGTTACCTTATCTTTTAAGTTCATAAAGCTTTTGTCCATATGAGGTTGGAGGTACAAATAATAAGAGGGACATTGTAAAGCTTGAACAGACAGATTGTGGACACTTGTCAGATTTTTTTTTTCTTCAGAATAAATAATCTTGTGCAACTGGATGTAAGTATGTAGACTAAAGATCTTACCACATCCTTGAAGCTCAGGTTGCCTTCAGTGTGAGTTTTTTGAGGCCCTCAAATGCTACTCTGACAGGCAAAGGCATTAACATATCAATGACACAATAAAAGATTTTGTCTGGTATAAAGACAAGTAAGTGCAAAACTTTACCATAATCACTGCAACTACAGGGTTTTCCTGCAGTATGATTTTTTTCTCATAGTTTTGAAAACTACTGATAAATACCGTATCACATTGATTATATTTGCAGGGATTCACTCCAGTGTTTTCTTCTATGTATTCGAAGATGACTGTGCTGTGCAAAGGCTTCAACACACTGATTACATTTGTAAGGTTTCTCTCCAGTATGTATTTTTTTATGTATTTGGAGACTACCGAGATAGGCAAAGTCTTTCCCGCATTCATCACACGCATAAGGTTTCTCTCGAGTATGTGTTCTTTTATGTAGTTTAAGCTGTCCATTACTTGAAAAAGCTCTACCACATTCAGTACATTCGTAGGGTTTCTCTCCTGTATGTGTTCTGATATGTATTTGGAGATGACTTTGTTGTGAAAAGGCTTTACCACATTGACTGCATTCATATGGTCTCTCTCCAGTATGAGTTCTTTTATGTGCTTGAAGATGATTGTGACGTGCATATGTTTTATCACACTGATCACATTTATAGGGCTTCTCTCTAGTGTGTGTTCTTTTATGTATCCGAATATAACTCTGGTGTGCATAAGTTTTACTACATATATTACATTCATAGGCTCTCACTCCAGTATGTATTATTTCATGCATTCGGAGATTACTTTGCTCTGAAAAGACTCTACCACATTGATTACATTTGTGAGGTTTCTCACCAGTATGAGTTCGTTCATGTATTTGAAGATGACTATAACGTGCAAAGGCTTTACCACATTTATTGCATTCATAGGGTTTCTCTCCAGTATGTGTTCTGATATGGATTTGGAGATTGCTGCGCTGTGAAAAGGCTTTACCACAATGATTACATTCATAAGGTTTCTCACCAGTATGTGTTCTCTTATGTTTTCCAAGAAGACTAACACATGAGAAGGCTTTCCCACATTGATTACACTCATAAGGTTTCTCTCCAGTATGTATTCTTTTATGTATTTGAAGACTACTGCGGCACATAAAAGTTTTACCACATTGATTACATTCACAGGTTTTCTTTCTAATACGAATTCCTTTACGTCTTTGACGATACTGGGGATATGCAAAGAGGTTAACACATTGAGTATATTCAGAGGGATTCTCTCCAAAGTGACTTCTTTTGTACCTGCAAAGATAATTGGTACATGTAAAAGATTTACCAGTCATTACACTGATGAATCTGTGTATGTGTATGAATTCATTTTACAATTGGGTGTAATTGTAAAGAGGACTCAGATCTTTTTTTTCATTATTTTTTTATTTAAATTAGCAACAAGCTTGTTTCACCTGTCAATCCCAGCTCCCTCTCCCTCGCCTCCTCCCCTGCTCCCCCATGTTATCCCCCACCCCCGACCCAATCACCTCTCCATTCCCAAGGGAAAGTGAGGCCCTCCATGGGGATATCCAGAGTCTGTCATTTCCTCCAGGGCAGGACCTAGGCCCTTGAGGGATCAGATCTTAAGAATTACACTCATGGTGTTCCCCTTCATTGACGGTTGTCCATTTTGTGTCTTTAATGATGCCTGTGATGATAAGACCCTTTATTACTTGGCTCATTTACAGCATCTTTTTTTTAAATGAGATTTTTCACATACTTGAAGAGAACTGCAAGAACTCATAGCTTTACCATATTGTTGTATTCATAAATTTTCTTCTAATGTTGATGAAACTACATTTTCAAAGTTAATCAGGACAAACACAAGTATTTACACATTCCAATACTCATAGGGCTTTTTTGACTATGTGTGAGTTTGTTGGTGTATTACTAATGAAGTTGGGAAAAAAATTAATTGTAAACTTGTGTAACATTCACCAAGTCCATTCAACATAGAGACTACAATATATATATATTCTCATTGTTCTGGGAGAGAGAGGCATGTTGCTTCTCTCCTTTTTCCTACACTCATAATGTCTGTACCCATAGTGACTTCTGGTAAATCAATTAAAGAAAGATTAACAAATAAAAGGTTCCCACATTCTACTCACATAGATTGACTTTCAGGTCCTCATAGACACATGGTATAGGCATTAAGGCTCTCCATTTCAATCTTGTTGACTCTCAGAAACTGCATCTCTCCTTAAACCTATCAAAGTTACTACAAATATATGAGTAACACTAGCTTTACTATTGACTCTTTGCTTATTAGAAGGTTTTGGACACACACTTATCACGTATTTCGTGTGTACAATCCTTGTGATATCTGAGCTGTATGAAACTAAGAGGACTTGCAGTTCTATACCACAGGACAGCACTCACAGGACTATGACTTAAATGATAACATCAGTTAAGGCGTTGGTTCCTTGTCTTCTTTCCTAGAGGAAGGCCTTGCCAAGACTAATCACCTACCTGACACTGAGATACGTGGATTTGTGAGAATAAAACCACCATCATCTGTGCTTATTTACACCATTGCTTTTCTTCAAAACTTCCAGGACACATTAAAATTTCTTCAGAGGAATATTTATAACAGCTTGCACATGAAAATTACCTTCCATGTCTTCGAGAAATTTGGCAGTATTCTTGAATATTATGATCTGCCCAATTGCGACCTAAAATATAGAACCAAAAAAATGTATATTATTGAAAATTGTGCAAAACTCAGGTTACTATCTTCAGTTCACCTAAAAATCATGCCTGATTTACTCACCTCATTGTTACTTTCTCAATCAAAATTTTAAAGAGGATCAATACCCAAGAAGGGCTGGCACTTTTTTTTTTAAACATGAGGTAAAATTCAGTCTTACCTATAACAGCAAGGTTCCAGTAAGTCTCCAACATCACATCTTTGTAGAGATTCTTCTGGGAAGGATTCAGTAAAGCCCATTCTCCCCGAGAAAAGTCGATATGCACGTCATCATACGTCACTGCATTCTAAAATATCCCATACATGTGTACAACAGAAAGTGTGATAGTGATAATATTATAAATGTATAATTCTTTAACAATATATTCATATAATTCTTGTGCTTCCCACACTTCTTTCATGACCAAAGTTATAATGTAATCACCAAGTCACTCTAGAAGAAAACTAAATAGGCAGTTCACCTCTGTCATTTCTTCACCCTTTGAATAGGATATAACCTTGAAAGAGAAATTCCAACAAACAGACATAAAAAGAGACAGGCAAACAGACCGCTGGTACTGAATACCCAGCAGAGAAATTGTATGAAGAATTACAAACTACAAAGAAGATGGGAAAGCCAGGTGTACTGGTTCATGACTTTAATACCAGCATTCAAGAGGCAGACACAAGTGCATCTCATTGAGTTGGATGCCACCCTGGTCTATGCTGTAAGTTCCAGGAGTGCCAGAATTATATATTAATAAGACCCTGTCTCCCCCACAGAAATCAAACAAACAATAAAGGTAGAAAGAATTTAGAGGTTTTTATTGAAGTTTCTACAAAGAGTTACACATTCACTCCAGTTCTGTATTCATCTTCCAGAAACTTGAAGTGTTCCCGTCTAAACTACAACATTAATAAGATCTTACTATGAGGGAGCGCATGTTTAACCATTTATAAATGGACAGATGAAAACACTGGCAATGTAAATGTTGATCATACATGAGCATCATACTGCAGAAGAGGTAGCTCAGCAGTTAGGAGCTCTTGCTGGTCTTGCAGATAGGTGCTCTCAATTGCCAGTAATTACATGGGGCCTCAAAATAGTACCTCTAGTATTCTCTTTTCTACTCATTCTAATTATTTTTCAGCTTTAGCCTTAGGCTATTTAAGTCCTTGTCCCCTTTTAGGGTCTTTTTCAAATTTTTAAGAGCATGTCCTTCTACTCCGATAATAGTCTGCAGCTGGGAAATCTCTCCCAGCAATTTTAGAAGATCATCAAAAGTCTGATATTGACCTCTCCAGATCAGTACTTTTTGTGGTCTAATTTTCTGTAGACCTATTTTATATCCTAAATAATTGACAGAATCTCTTCTTTGTATTTTTTCCAGGGGCAATTTGTAATCCCCATCAAGGCAAAAATTTCTTTACTTCCTCAAAATTTTTGCTAATGTCTCTGCCAAGAATATATCATCCATACAATGGTAATTTATACATTATGGAATCTGTTTACAAATTATTTCCAGTGGTTTTTGCACAAAACATTGGCACAAGGTGAGGCCATTTAACAATCCCTGTGGAACAACCTTCCATTGATATCTTTTGATCAGCTGAGAATTATTGTAAGTAGGCACCATGAAGGCTAATTTTTATTCCTCTGTTTCTTGTAAAGGTATAGTGAAGAAACAATCTTTTAAATCAATAACTATAATACACCATTTTTAGATATCAGAGAAGGCAAGGGTATTTTAAGCTGTCGAGAACCAATTGGCTAAATTATTTTATTGATGGCTCTCAGATCTGTAAGCATTCTCCATTTTCCAGATTTCTTTTTAATAACAAATATGAGAAAATTCCAAGGGCTAGTAAATTCTTCAATATGTCCAGCATCTAGCTGTTCCTGAACCAGGTTTTCTAGAGCCTCTGCCTCTAGCTTCTCAGAAGTCATAGGTCATTGCCCAACCCAGACAGGTTCATCAGTTAGCCACTTTAAGAGTAGGGCTTTTGGTTCCTCTGTTTGACACTGGTATTCTCTTTTTGTACAGCCTGGATTATTCGTGTCTGTTTTATATAGTGCCTTACAATATTGTTTTCCATGAACATGAGTTAGTTTATGGTTCATGCCTGATACTGGAGGAATGTTAATCTGGGTATTCCATGGCTACAATAGATCATGACCCCCCAAATTAATGCATAATTCTGGCAGACCCATCTATGCAAACTGTGGTAAAAGAAACTTCTTTAGGAAATGTTTCATCTCCATGATGATACCTTAGGCCAGGAATATTGTATTCCAGATTCTTGGTTCTGCCCCACCACGTCATAGCCATATTGGTAAAAGAGTCAATACACATTGGTCATAGACCAGAGATGGATGCCTCTGGAGGCTCACCAGACTTCCTGATGTTTTATGTTCATCATTTGCTTTGTTACAATTTAAGATATGGAAAACTGGGAAACAACAATGGAAGTTCACTGGACTCTTTAATTGTCCTTTTATTTAATAAAGAAGACACAACTAGCCCATGGTCAACACCCACATGCTCCTAATTGACACTGATCAAATAAGGAAAATGCCTTACTATGGTTAGCTTAGCTTGGAGTCACATAGTTCCAATCCCCCCCCCAACTTTACTACATTTTTGTTTGAAACTAGTTGCATTTCCTTTCATTTCTGAATGTGTTTTCAACTTGATGTACACCAACCCTGGAGAAAAACATAAACTTGGGAAAACACCTTTATGTCAGAGGGATCACATCAATATCCTGTGGTCTACACTGTTTTGACCATTTTGTTTGATAATTGTATGTTTTACCACCTGGGATTTATTTTCCTGCATTTATTTGTCTATTACTAATTGGAATATTTAATGTATGCTGTCTTGTTTTCCTATTCTGGTCTGCTATGAAATTGTTAGTAATTATTATATGTGTCCCATCAGTACTGTGTACACATCAAGAACCAGAGGATACAACATAATGAACATATTTAAGAAACATGTACATATGTAAAAACAGCTTAGGTGGGAACCCCACTATACCAGCACCATTGATATCACTGAACCCAAAAAACCAGACACAGTCCTAGAACCTCATGACACTCACTGGACAGTATATATGTACAGGGATCTGCTCTGTACATATGAGAGACATCACCTTCATCTGGCCACCCGCTAGAGCATCTCCCCACAGGATCCCAACTGTTAGAGACTGTACCTGACCTTTAGATAAGATATGTCACACAGTGAGCAGCCTTGAGGAGACAGGTTTAGGACCACAGTTGGGAATTTAGAGTGTGAACATGTGTGATGACCATCAGCATAATAAAATGTAACTTTTGTTATAATGACCATGCATATTTATCTTCTTGCTCATGAAAGTTAGCATCACTCTCCTATGACTGATAATTAGATGTAAGTTTGCATCTAAGTGAGGAAAGGAAAACTTTTCCAAACCAAATACAAGATAACAGAATTTTAAAGAAACATTTTATAACTTGTGTTATATACCAAAAGCAACTTGTTTTGCTCTTAGTGCTTTATAAGACACAAGCACTTTTGAAAACAAATTAATTCCTGCTTTTTATGTGTATGTTTGTGTGTTCAAGACAACGTCTTCCATGTGTGTACAGGTTACACACCAGAAAAGAGGATGTCAGAACCCCTGAACCAAGAGGACCAGGTGGTCATGCACCTCCGAAAGGGGATGGTGGGAGCTGAACTCCGGTCATAGCCAAGAAGGAGATATGCTGAGCCACCTGCTCAAGCCCATGAAATTTTTTATTTAATAAACTAAGTCTTTCACAGACTAACAACAACCACAAAACATAAATGAACCAAGTAAATAAATGATCACTGGGAACATGATTCATCAAAGTTGAGATGTATGTGGTCGATTTGCACCATAAATGGAATAAAATCCAGAGACAATGCCCAAAAAATTATCACAGAAAAGTTCACTCCAAACACTCAGAATAATCAATGGGATTATTAAAAAATAGTACACATATTGACACAATGTGACTTCTATATTTACCACAATAATCAAGAATGTGTACAAGGTTTATGTAGGAATAAAGGGGATGGACTGAAAAGGCCAAGACCAAAAGCAGGAAAATATAACCAACTTTTCAAAAGACCAAATGCAACACAGCCAGGAAATGTGGGGTCTTGATCAATGCTGCCCAACTACCTATGATTCTATGTGTAAAGAAATGTATTAAACACAGACTTTCCAACACCTACAAAATTAACTCACAGTGACAATGGGAGCCCTAACCCTTTCAGAGGAGTGGATGCGGGGGTGGAAAAGAGGAGGGGGGAGAGAACAGGAGGAGAGGTGGGAGGGGACACTGTTTGGTATGCAAAATAAGTAAAAAACTTAAAATAAAAACAACACCGGCCCGGGTGGTGGTGCACACCCTTAATCCCACCACTCAGGAGGCAGAGGCAGGTGGATCTTCCTGACTTCCAGATCAGCCAGGTCTAGAAGAGCAAGTTCCAGGACAGCCTTCAAAGCCACAGAGAAACCCTGTCTCAGGAAAAAAACCAAAACCAAAACCCAAAAAAAAGACAATAATTGACTTTTTAAAATGATAAAAATAATTGGAAGAGCACTAGACTACACTGACTTTAATACAGAGTTGGCACTTCCCTGATAGCGAGTATGCCATTAAGACATTGTATGACTTCATCCCATTTCAAATGTTAGCTGTTAGGAGCTATAAGTGACACAGATTTACAGTCAATGGCCAGTGTCTCAAACATGAGCTGAGTTAACTGTATCGACCAGAACTATACATATCTGCATATAGTAATTCCCTAACTGGAAACTGAATACTCAGGAGTACAAACTATGATCTCTAAACTGTATATCCCTCTGTTGTGCTCAAGTGGCAAAGTCCCAAGAGATCATCAGGAGTCACACCAAACTGCAAGACTAAGATTTAATGATTGTTACTCAACCATGACCAGGACCTGACACAGCAGCCTCCAGAGGGAGTCAAGTTCCCTGTCTACTGGGAGGTTTTATAGACAAAAGTTACAGGATTACATCAGTAGGTACAGGTTGGTTTTTGATTGGTTGATATTTGGGAACAATTGGAAGAATTTCTCAAAGTCATATTTTGGCATGAAATACCTGTGCACCAATTATTTTCATTGGTCAGTGCTGAGAGGGAACATTCTGTGGTTTCTATGGCATTGTCTTGTTACTTGCAGGTGGTCTGTTGTACACAGATACCAATAGTTT